TTGCATTGTATTATACTAAACAATTTACGACGAACTGTCATTATTAATGATAAAATTTATTCTATTGAATTTTTAGATACATTATTTTGTAAACTTCAATATACAATATACAAGTAAAATATTACTTTTCATAAGCTTTAGTTTAATTATGCTTTTCAAACTGTATACCATTACAAGCCTACAAATATTTATAAAAGGAAAGAAGATAGAGAAAGTATAGCAGTTCATAAATAATATGATATATAATTTTTTTTCTATCTAATAAACTATACAAATCATTATGTTTAATTAAATGTAAAATATTATAAAATTAATCAAACGTAAAATTATTCCTAAAAATTTATTAATAATATTTTGACATTCTAAAATACAATTTGAAAGAATCACCACTTCTAATATACAATTACTAATTAATTGTTTTTATTACAGAGTATACATTCGGAGCTCTGTCCTTTGTTCACTTTGTTTAATAAACATTTTTTCCTCGTAAGTATTATGCAATATCGTTACATTATTTATTCAGTTTAACATTTTGCTCAAATAGTTGGTAGCAAATCATATGGCTATCAAGGATCGGCAGTGATTGTTCTTGTTCGAAGTATACTTTACCAAATTAAATACAATGCGATTGAATCAACGTAAATCAGCCAGAAAATCGTCAATTTATATTCAGCAACGTATGTTCCCGCGCTTATTTGTCTTATTTAAAAGCTCGATAAATGAATCATCTCGTCGCCGAGTTTCGCGATTGCCTATCGGTTATCTTAGGTCCGAGCACACGGAGAAAACTCATTACACGTTACGAGCGATTTTGCTTTTACTAGCCAAAAGTGAAATTATCGGCTCTGGGCGCATGCGCGAATGATTAACGTAATGGACTATCATCGCTTGACTATTGCGAAACATCGAACATTAAGGGTACGCTCAGTCATACATATTTATTTAGCGATGATGCGAAATCAATCACTGACACATCCTCTCCGAACATTTGCAAATGATAAAACTATAGTCAACATTTTCATTGTTGTATTGTTATTGTGTGCGAACCGATGATTTATCATTTAAATGCTTCAACTGGTTACAAAATAAGCTTCGACATAAGTTAAGTCTGCGATTAGAAATTTAAGAACTATGAATTAAAATTTATCGATCTTTCGTAATTGTAAAATAGAAATTAATCCTTTTTAACATCGCCTTTCGGCTTCATTGTTTATGAATTTTTCTAAAAACTTTATATTTTCAATTTGTACTAATAATTTGTTAATATACAATAAACGGCAAACATTGTAATTGACAATTGAATTTTTATGCTAAAATATTTGTACGAGTATATAAAATATGCATAGCTCTCAATTTAATAAGGACTATTAATATATTTTGAATTATTTGTACTGTATTGAAAATTAATTTAAAAAGTCTAAACTCAATGTCGAATTCGTTTTTAGTTTCATAAGCTATACCTATTTATCAAAAATAATTCATCGATTCAGCTTTCATCTTTTATTGCATAAATAAAAAGTAATAGGAAACATCTATACTATCATCAATTGTTCAATTTCTTTTTATATTATTTCGAATTTTTCCTTTCTCCAGTCACTTTCTCCTTATTTATAAGGCATTTAAAGTCATATTTTCATCTTATGATTGACAAGTTTATAATATTACTATTACAGACGGTTTCGTGCTATCCATGCATAAATCTTGATTAAAATTATTTTTAATTCTTTAGTTAGCGTTAAGAAAAGAAATACGATACGTTTAATTGTAAATTTAGTAAAGGAGAAAATTATGAAACATTTTTTTGTACTATATTTATATAAATTATTCACTATAGTCTAGAAATTTAAAATCAGAACTTTTAATGCTACAGTCATGTAATAGGGAAATAGGTTGTTAATTTGTTAGCGATTATTAATGTAATACACGTAAATTGCGACAATTTATAATTTAATTTTATAACATTTAAAACTCAAATTTGCATCGAATTTACTATATTTAAAATAAACACGACGTTAGATACAAAAATGTCTTTATTACTTTATATTTTCTAAGCCTCGTAATATATCATAAATATATATTACGAAGTTACGATAAATTTCATTCTTTATTAAGGTATAAAATTAATTTATATATATTTAAAGCAATATCAAGGGTTTTAGGATATTCTAGATAAAATAAATCTATATACAAATTAAACCAGTAATGTAATACTCATAATCAAATAATTTACATTTGCATTCTAACGTCTTGTTTATCGCAACACAATATACTATAAAAGATTATAAAATTAACAATAAAAAGGCATAATGAATTTATAGAATATATATATATATATATATATATATATATATACACCTCATTTCAATTATGCAAATAAGTCTTCGAATAAAGTTTATGAATAGTATTTTATATCAATATTAATTTCATTATTAATTGATTACAAAAAATTATGTGTGAGTGTGTTTAATGAATTGAATTTTAAAATAATTAACTTATAATTAATCTTTCTATTATAAATTTTGGCAAAGGAGAAAATTTTTAAGAATTGAAAAAGTTTAAAAAATTTTAGAAGATATTTCTTAATTCTTTGTAAAGTATGAAAAAAATTTATATGCCTTTGGAAAGGAAATCATAAATTAATAATTGTTGAGGAAATATTTGAAATATAAATAATATTTAATGGCATCAAAATCAGACGGCACTTTATACAAAGTTTTTGCTTTATCGACATTCATTTTAAAACAAATAATAATTTAAGTAATTTTATGAAGTTTCGTAAAAATAACTTTTAACGGCAGTATCGACATTTTTAATAAATCAATTAAATTTTTGTACAAATATATTCGGATTTGTGAATTGCATATAACTGCAAGATCATTAATGTCAAACATGATTGCATTCTCGATACTTATTTCCTTGATTCATCGTTGTTTTGTCAATTTTGATACGTCTGAATTGAGCCATGTAAAAGCAAAGCACAAATAAAAGCATACATCAATGCTATTTAAGTATTTGACATTATCCGCTTGATGCTCAACAGACGCTCATGAAAGCTTGAAACAATAGCCAAAAATGAAATAACTTCCGCTCTGAATCAAGTAAGTTTCAAGGTGCACGACCAAATAACTACGAACATGATCGTCTATAAAATAACGATATATAATATGACGATTTTTGCACTATTTCGATACAATTGGAAACACCAAAAAACAATAATCTATAGTTTATAAATACTGAGCCTACATTTCAGGAGAAACTTTTAGCAGGTAAATGTCCGGCTATTCAAAGGTATCCTATCTCGAACTATGCCGATCTACATAAATATGTCCTGCTTTGTTCTCTGTTCGCGAAACCCACTGCGACTGAAATTATTTGTCACCTATCACACGAGGAAAGATGACATCCAAGTGGAGAGGGATGGATGGACATCGTGAGAAAGCATCAAAGCATCGAGTAAAAAGGGGTTGACGTGCCATTGTCTATCCCGGTGGTTTGTTCCGATCAACCGAGGCACGAAGATTGCATCGTCACTCTCCGGGCCGTTTGTTCTTTCAAAGCCTGAGTTTTCTTTCTAGGTTTGTCAAAATAATATGCGAATGTTCGACTCTAATTTTTTTTTTTTTTTTTTTTTTATCATTATTTTACATCACAGACGATAGCGAATATTAATTTTACTTAATGATCAATATTAGCAGTTTTTTTTTTGTAATTCTATCACACAATGTAGGCATTAGCAAAGCAAGTTTCGCCCCTGCTATCTGTTTATCTAACAGTGTGATTCATCGTCGAACGATTCATTCGATACTCCGTTGAGTTAATATTGTTTTATGCTGACTAGTGTATTTAGTTAGTATAATGTTAAAATCGTACAAAACGAATTATTACATTTAATCATTATATATTTGTGTAATATTAAAAGAAAATTAAGCTTATATTTTATCAACATATATGTACGTTTTATACAATGTAAAATTTGTCAACGATACACCGAAAAACATTGGTATGGTCATTATAATGTTATTGACCTTTTAACGATGATAATACATATATGTCTAAACAAAAACTTTACGAACACAATTCACTAAATATCAATATTTAATTGATTGCATTTAACAATTACAAAAATATTATTGTTAATTTTAAGGGAGAATTCAAATATATTAAAATATATAAAAATTTCACATAAGGATTATATTCAAGATATTATAGATACTGAAAGTTTAAAGTTTCTTTTATTAATGAGATAATATCTTACATTTTTTCTTGGTAAATAAATTTTTATTTGGACCTTATTTATTTTTATTCGATTACATATTTTCACTTACAACAAAAAAACTATATATTTTTCATAATTAATTTTATAACCTTCTATGCAAAACACGTTAACGACTTTCAAAATTGAAGATATTTTTCATAGGAAAGATGCATCTAATCTTGTATGCTTATAACTTTTTTTACCTTATTTTAAATGTAAACTGAAATATATCGAAATTAGTAGGCTCAAACTTACAAATTTATTAATTAACAAAAAACAATTTTAATAGATACATAATTTTATCCTGCTATGATGATATTCGTCGAAAATAATAAGTCTTTCGTAATATAGATTACATAAATGTAAAAGCCAAATTAGTTATAAAATATTTCTATAACATAGAAATACATATGAAAATAAAAAAGAAGAAAAAAAAGAAAAGAAAAGAAAAGCAGAAAAAATGCATGATAATCGAATCATTCGATATTTAAATAAGTCTCAGCAGTTGTCGTCTTTGTTTTAACGAGTTTTTCTACGCTCTTGAGTAAATAGAGAGAGAGATAGAGAGAGAGAGAGAGAGAGAGAGAGAGAGAGAGAGAGAGAGAGAATCTGAATTGACAATAATTATTGAATTAGAATTTAGAAAGGGGAGGGGAGGGGGGGGGGAGAAAAAGAAAAACATCGATGTCCACTACGCATATTGAAGCGGACAGAGTAGTTAACGACTTAAAAATGAATGACTCACCGCCGTTATTCGGGCCGTCGCAGTCGTCGCTCCCGCAGCTTCTGGATGCGCCGTTCGTAATAACCTAAAAAAAAAACGTGATTTGATTATTCGAGGATCGTAAGAGGCAACAGCCGCTGTCAAGTATCAAGGTTTCGTTAAAGCTCGTTACGAGGTTGGTAAAAGCGATATAGGACAGATGAAAGGTCGTTTGATTAAAGTAATCCATGAATTAGTGATCTGTTACCGAACTATACGGCACTAGTGGAGACGTATAATAATGTGGCTTAGTCCATATTATTCTTCCTTACGAACGCTTATATTTTTTATTTTCGGCGCTGGCGTTGGACACTTAATTATCTTGATAATTAAAGCGTAATTGGGACGTCGAGGGGCAAAACTGACGAGGATGAGTTATTGAAATTGAACAGATGTTTATTAGTTCATCCAGGAAGTACAGTAATAATTAACTGATGCTGCTTTATTTGCTTTACTCTACAAGTAAAATGTACTGAAGCTATTAGTATCTTTACTTTCTATTAAATAGATCAATGCTTTTAATAGAAATTTCACGATTAATTTATCAATTACATCGAACTAAATAGTAATAACTTTGGTAATATTTTAATATACATAAAAGAAACTTCCAATCAAAGCAAGTGTAAAATAAAATTTACTTTTGCAGAAAACTGGAAAATGTCCACTTATTTTGCAAATTTTTAATTTCATACCGAAACAAAACATATTGTTTGCATTATTAGAAAAATTATATTTTAAAAATATTTTTCCGAATTATTTATTATTTAGCGATTATTAGATAAATGATTATTGATAATTTTTATACTTCGCTACTTAAATTAATCAATAGTCGATTAATATATATTACGAAAATCAAAAACAAATTAAAAAATGGTAATAAATTAAGTCATTGTACGTGGACCGTAAAGCCATTTAAAAATGTACTATATAGAAATAGAAATACCATAGATTACTGTAGATTATCATAGAATAGCGTCCTAATTTTCAACAAATATTATATTAATACATCTACTATTCAATTTGATAACACTTATCATGTAGTATGTATATTTCATTCAAAGAAACGAGGACATAAAAAATAATGGTACGATCAATGAAAGCTTACTTTGTTGTAAGATCGCTTCGTTTTCTATTTATTTAAAAGCTCCGATGAACATAAATTTTTCGCTTGAAAAATCTTTGTAAATTATTACATTTAAAATATTTGTGTATTGAGTTTTTTGTGACAAGAAATAGTTACGTTATAAATATAGCAACGGCGAAAAATGCTTTATTTCGCTCTGGTTACCGTTTATTAAACACGGCCAGAATAAAATCTTCAAGTCTCTAAAAACGGATGTAAGTGCAAGTCAGCTTAGGGTTGCTGATTGAATAACTTAAAACAAATGGAAAGAATAGAAAGTCAATCCGAGTTTCCGTCGGAGTTTCGATATGGTATATTTAGGAGTAAAAGTAAAAAGTTATTATTTTTGCATGCTAATGAGTTGGAACATAATTACGGAAATAGAAACGTGTATTGTAAGTATAATAGCGTATGAGTTACATCGCGATACAATAAAGTAAATTTAAGTGTACTTTATAATAAAATAAAAAAATTGTATTTGAATATTATTTACAAATGTAGTTGTAGAAAGTGAATGAAATGCTACATAAACAGTCTAAATTATAATACTTGAAATCACTATAAATTATTTAAAAAGCAGGTTAAGAGATTCTGTTTATCTCCATAAAATTTTTAATATAATCAGCCATTTTTTACAATTTTGCCACACGCCCAAATTATCCAATTTGATAATTGTTATTGTCGCAGTGTGATTTCAATTACGAGCGATTATTGATCATCGAGAATTGCTGTTGAGAAATCAATAACTGCGCGTTTGACACTAATAAAAGATTTTAAAATAATAATGCGGTAATGTAAACAACTTTGGATTCCTCGATAAATTTTCACGCTGAAGAAAAATCGTTGGTAATCCAGGAAGACGAACAAGATGAGTATTCCTATATCCTCAACACCGTATTATTTTTAGTCGTAATCGATCGTTTCGTTGTTACCTCTCCATCCCGGATCGATTCAACTCAACAGCGACATTCATTTGCAACCGCTGGTCACTATTTACGGTCATGTTACTTGTTTGGATAATTGTTTCATCCATTTTTTCATATCTTACTTAAATACCTCTTTTCTTTTTTACCTAAATACAACGAATAGTGTTAATATATTTTTCGAACAATCACATATTATTGCGAATATTTAATTTTTACTAAATTTCATCCCTCAATTATTCAAAATGAAGGAATTTTGATTTTCCTTTATTCTATTTTACTAACCAAGAGCATGTCTTATGTTTAAGTTTAATGAAATTTTTATGAAATGTTTAAGTTGTTGCATCGGAAAGTTGAAAATAAAAGTATTGATTTCAATGTTATCGTCTTTCGTGATAAAGCTATATTATAAGCCAAGTATTTACAAAATGATTTATAAAGGAACATAAATCTTTATTTTCACTGATGATTATTATACGATTGGGAAATACAAAATCTTCATTTTCTATCGAAGAATTTTTCGATTTATAGAAAAACACGAGTTTAAAGTGCAGAAATCTGAAAAAAAAACAAAAATAATAAAGAATAAAAATAATATGAATAAATAATAATTATTATTTCATAAATTCACAAAATTTAATATTGAAATATGAGCGTAATATAAATTAAATTCCGTTTTTTCTCACTAAATTAAAGACTTTGAAAATCTGAAGTACATAATTATCACTGCAATATTAAATTATTACATTACCTCATGACTATATTCAGTTTCTAATCTGAAAGGTGTAACTTATGAAAGTTCATTTTATTTCAGTTTTATCATAAATTACTTTTAATGAATACATCGTTAATACATGTATGAAATATTCCGGTGTTTATTTCTTTTTATTCGTATTTTGATTAGTTACGAAGAAAAAGTTTGCAATAATTATTTCAAGTTTTATGTAACGTCGATGTATACATAAATTAACTGGAAAAAGAAAATATTTAAAGGTTTTTATGCTATAATAATTATTTAATATTTGCTACGTTCAATTATAATAAAATAATCATTTTTATCGCATCCAGTCATTAATAATCAGAATTACATATCTATAATATTAAACGTTAAACTTGTTTACAATAATTTTTCGAGTATTTATTATAAAAGCGAGAAATTACTTTACTCCAAAAATCAAACTACTTTAAATATTAATTTGGTCATTCTATAATTGCGTTCTTTTTATCAACTATCACTGCATTGATTCAATATTATTAAATTAAATACTTACTGCGTTTTATAGACATAGAAGCAAGACAAACATTACAGTTATGCCCTGATTTTTTATAAAACGCATTAAGCTATTAATATGTTAATTTGTCGAGCATTTATTAAGAACTTTCTTTAGACATGCTGCTTTGTGTGCTAATTCACCTCTTATCTTTCACATACAGTTATAATTTGTCAGATGGAGAATTATTTAAATTGAATATACTTTTCATAATGTAAACAAATAATTACACGTGTCAATATTTAACATTTTAAACTCAATAAAATTTCATTTATAATTTATTAAAAAAAAAAAAAAAAAAAAAAAAAAGATGATATAAATTAATTATAGTATATTGAATTGAAGAAGGTAGCAGTATAAACAATTAAAATAATCCAATTGAAATTATAAAAATATAAAATTAAACTGTATTACAACAAAATAATTTACCTTCGTGTGCAAATGTACCCGTGTATAAATTTAATATTTGATTCTTGCATAGAAAGCATATTTAATAAAAAATACGTTTTGAAGGTGAAGCTCAAATAGCCATAAAAATACTTGACGCAAATTTTGCAAATCTAACGCAAAGAATTATTATTAATAAAATTTCAGTGTTAAATTTATAGGATAAATAACGACATCTAAAATATTTTGTTTTATAATAGATTATTTTCTATATTATAATTTTTATGATAATACGAAGGTTCTAAATATTTATCAATATGTTGAATTTGAAATAGTAAAATAATATTTTTTCCATTCCAATACATATGAATTATCTCTTTTAAAATTAATATTGTTTTAAAAATATACTCGTTTAGTTTTACATCCAAACGCTCATTAATAAGTATTTATGAAAATCTTTGTATTTGCAGTCGAAACTGAAAGTGGAGATATAGATTAAACCGCTCTGGGAAAAACGCTATGCGAATTCAGAACAACGTAAACTTTCGCTGCGTAAAAGAATTGAAAAAATGAAGTACAAATCTGGGTCTCATTATTTCCATAAAATTATTATGGAATGATTAAAAAATCGAGATAGATGTTAGAAATACTTACAATAGAATTAATGCCTTAGAGAGAGAGAGAGAGAGAGAGAGAGAGAGAGAATGTTGTAGATAGAGAGACGAAGAAGAAAAAGAAACTTTAAGAAATAATGGGCCTGAGGTTGAAAAGCCAAATTACGTCGCAGGAAAAAGCGAACCAAAAAAGGGCTATAGCATAAATAAGCTGCGAACTTATACACACACACACACACACGTATATATATATATATATATATATATATATATATATATATATATACGTGTAGCTGAGAACGTGACTCTGACTAAATATTACATCTGTATTCGTATTTTGTATACGACCACTTGGTACAGCCTTATTTTTTGGGGAAGAGGAATGTCAGAAAGGTCGTGCATGATAGATTTCCGTCGTCATTATGATCGATGAAATATCTGGATGCTGAGCTGACGTAAGAGCTCTGTGGACTATCGGTATATATAAGAATTATGCGCTTCTGCGCTTTATCGAATGCCAAGGTCTTTTATTTTCGCGCAGGCGACTCGATGCGCCGTTGGTACAGTTTTAGTAAGAAAATTGTACCGAGGAATACACATACTCGGGTATATTTATATTTTTCATAATTTTACCGTAAAATAAAAATTTTTTTTCTCTACTTGTCAGACTTATGACATTTAAAAACATCGATTTTTTATTTTGGGATTCTGAGATGCTTACGGTAAAACAATGGATTTTTGTTATATCTTCATGCATATGTAAGGCTCGCTGAAATTATTTTCATGTCGTATTAATATACTTTTTTATTTCCTATCTATAAATCTACAAACATTCTCGCTTTTTCATTCAGATGTCTAGTTAGACACTTTTAAGTCGAATTATAGTTAAAGAGATAAATTCTTAAAGTATCCACTTAAAACATGAACTAAGCCGGTATTAAAATACGAAACAACTTAAATTAAGAAACTCAATAAAATATTCATTAAAATTTATAATTGGATCGAGTTTTAATAATTATCGTTGTGCTACATATTTAAATACATTAGCAAATGAAAATATCATGAAAATCAAACATAATATTTTACCGATTGATTAGTTTTAGATAAAAATTGAGATAATGAAAAATTGAGGTTATGTTTGTACAAATTAGAAAGTGGTAGAAACCTGTATTGAATTACACTTGGAATTTGATTTTGGAATTTTTAAACTCTATGTGAAGTCCAAGGACGTTTAGAAAATAATATTTCAGCTTGTATTTTAATACGACTAATCACATTATTAATAATCTCTTAATATTTATCGAAAGCTTATATTAAAAGTCTATTTGTACGAAAATGATACGAACCATGATTTAAAAACTTGCAAACATTCGTATTTGTCGGCTGTAAACTAACATTAGATTTAAATAAATAATGGTAGCGGAAGCATCCATCAACTTTCTGTTGCATGTTTAAATTACGCATTGGGGAGAAACTTGAGTTTCGACAGAACAAATGTTGTGAGCCAGATATTTGTAGGTGAGTTTGATTTTAATAGAAGCACACTCGAGTTTTTCAGCGACATATTAATATTCACACTTGAAGTTGTAAACAAACATTTGAAACAGCTGCACAGACACCCCGCTTAAACCCGTTTAAAAGAGAGTGAATATCTACTATCTCTCTTTTTCCACGAGATCCTTAGCTTTGGTATTCAGCACTGGGTATAACAGTACACGGATTGGCCTCTGTATACACAAATTAATTGTTGAAAAAAGTAGAAGTACATTCTAGCGCGTGTAACAATGTCGGGACGCGCTTTCCCTTTCAGAATAAGCTTCGACTCCTGTGCTTGGACGCCGATTACTCGCCTCGATTTCGCACGTCATACACGAACGTGCACACCACACATAAGTATAAGCACGCAAGCGCATTCGCAGCTATTTATTGGGGGAACATCAGAGACACTGACACAGCGACAACGCGCAGCCGCCCTGAAGAAACATATTATCTGCAGATGTGAATTCTCTTGTCTCTCGCGGTAGTGTGTATGTGCGCGTGTGTGTATGAGAGAGGCTATAGAGGCAGATCATGACCGTGAAATCGGGAGGAGAGCCGTGAAGAACGACGCAACCCTACTGCTGCTGCATTTGCGCGTGCTCGTCGACTCTTACGTAAATGCGAGATTTCCTCATTGGTGCTTTTTCCTTTCTTGGCACACTGCGAGCCAAGCATTTTTTTAATCAGCTGATTCGCGCACGCAATTTACGGGAATTACTTGCAAGGAAGTTTTGTTTTTCGAAATATCCATGAGTATTAGGTGAATGATGATGGCTTTGATATTCATCGGTAGAAAATCTTGAGATTATAATGGGACGGTATAGCGTCGTTTATTAATGTTTTTGGAAGCACGTTTAGCGAATTGAGAAGCAAGTTTTTTACAACACGCGATAATATTTATGATGCTCTGATAGAAAAATAAGAAAAAAAGACGCACGAGAAATGCTTAAGATCTCGTTAAAATGTATGTCGCTCGTTTATAATGATACAAAACTACTTTCATAAATGTAATTTTAATTAAGCATTTATCACGTGTATTATGCTTGAATCCTGTTTCTCTGAAATACATTATAATATTTTTTTGTACTTATTTTATAGAATACGAATGAGAACTGAAATTATCATTTGTAAATTACTTTCAATAATAACATAATGAACATTAATACATGTTCAACCGAAGGTTTTTTTTCGTATTTTTTTCTTTATGTATATTTTTTAATTGAATTCAATACTCGTATATTTTATAATTTTTAGTTTATTTTATAATTATAGATAAATTTCCAATAGAATTTCTCTATATATTTATTGTATTTTAAATATTAACTTAACATTAAATAATATACTTTGTAACTTTTCTTATAATAAAATATAAATATAATACAATAACACATAGAGCTGCAGGTTTCTCTTTATTATTCGAACACGTACTTTGTTCAAAGTTAAAATTGTCTTCGCTTAGAACATTAACAAAAGTATTATAATTTCAAATTTTTATGTACATATTCAACTTTCAGAAAAATTCTAATAATAATCTAGTAAAATAAATAATTTCAAGTTTTACTTTCATCACTGGTGCATTTCCATGTCACCAACAATTGCATAAATTTCTAAGTTATTATTCGAGTTATTAGATGAAAAAAATATAATTATGTCAAGATTTTCTAAATACTTTTTAGTCATATAAAAAAATTTAATTTCATTTCGTATATGAAAAAGGATAATTTGTAAATATATGTTGATGTTATAATAAAATGCGAGGGATGTTAGAGACTACTAAAATTATGCTATCATTAACATTTAAGCAACGAATATACGCAAAAAATTGATAAATTATTATATCTATTTTTATGGAATATCAATATGTAATATAATAAATAATTTCTTATAAATAACATTGCATAACTGATGGTAAATTTATACTTCGTTCATATGTCAATCTTCTCTTTTATTTTAACCGATCATGTCTTTATTTTATATATTTGAATGTAATTGTCGATAAGGATAAATAACTGTCACATTAACATTCCCTTAGCGACAAATAAAAATATTTTTGAATTACCCGCTTTCTGACGACAATCGATTATAAAATTGTGTACATATGTGTATAAGCGATTGGAATGCCAGGAATTTCATTTTACTCTCACCCGTACATATATAGCCTATACATTGTCAATTGGTCTTTATAATTATGAAAAATTATAAAAGATATAATAAATTTAAAATATAATAAACAGTATTTGAGAATAAAGTATAAACTATTTTTAATATGAAAAGCATTTAATATTATAAGAGTGATGAGTGGAACAATGTAATGCAAAGTTTCTTCAAGCAAATGCGTCTTCAAATATCCGCGCAATGATTCTGAAGTTCGTTCTAATTAATGAATAAACCAATTTTCGTTGATCATTCGGTAAATTTGAAATTTTAATCGACGTTTTTTATCTGATGAGTAATCGAGCGTATTGAAGCGAATACGAGCTGTCGCGTGTCATCAAGTTTTGTTTAATGAAATATCGTAGTTGTTTTAATATCTATTATTTTTTCAATCAAATTAATGTATTTTTATTGTTATTAATGTCACATTCATTATATCAAACGTATATATAATATTTTTAAGCCTAATATTATTTCTATATTTATAAAAATTTGAAACAAAATGAATTTATTTGATAAATATTTAATTTTTAATTTAAATAGATAATTAGAAGTATTGATTTCCTTAAGTAATAATACGTATAGTGTTATCTATAATGGATAGTATCGTATAAATATATTTTAAAAGAATTTTCGATAACGATATAATTATAATGGAAAATATAAATGCTACATTGTATTGTACAATATGTGTGTGCGTGTGTGTGCGTGCCAGTAAATTCGCTACTACTAGTATTTAGTTATGTTAATAATTATAATTGCTGATTTTTAAATTTAATGTTCATTAAATTTAAAAAATATAGAAGATATTTTAGATTTTTAACGGATTTAATAAATAAAAATGTTCTTGTTAACAAAATTAATGGTGATAAATTCGGGTCTATGTTGATTAGATCGTAATTAAAATTTTTGTATAAGGTAAAACATGATAAAAACTTTTAAATGTTAAGAATAATTCAGACATTTTTAAAAATAATATCGAAATAGTAGTTTAATTATTTACAATGAATATTTTTATTTGAAATTACAAACGCTAATATTAACATCGCATACTGCACTTTTAACTTAATAACACAATGAAAATGTCGATTTTAAGGACTCACGATTATTACAGCAATTCACTCGAAGTCGATTGTTTTTTTCAAAAACAGCTCACGGTAACGCACACACTTCTACGCAATACGACACTCACGATATTACACCTGCTTCTCGCCCCGTAAATTTGAAACGCAAGCGAGGAACGAACGGGTCGTCCCCCAAAAGGCTTCCGCTCGTTGGTAATTGAGTTGATACTTGTGCGTGAGAGTCGTCGCCCCGCCTGGTGAGGAATAACGAGAGTCGGACAAGTGGGTCAGGTTAGCGCGAGTCAGCGATCGAAATTGACGCCGATCGCGGAAGCGACGCCGCGATCCGAAAAGCGAGCGGCTCCCGCTCGCGCAATCAACTGCTCGTAGCCTCCGAGCCTCGACTCGGGCCAACCTGACGCACGTCCAGAGCGAGCAAGCCAGAGGGGGGGGGGATCAGCCGTGGTAACGGGGTACGAGAGCACCCCGCCCCGGATTGACCGCCTTTTAATTGCCCCGTCGCCCTGACCTCTTAACCTCGGCCTCAGCTAATTGCAATCAGAGTCCCCTCTCCCTCCTACATCGTTAGTCAAAATTTTAATATTTGTCGAACAAACAGAGCGAACTTTATTGATAAATTATCCTGGCAATTATTCAACTCGTGTACGTAGCATCAGAAGCAGCACTGTCGAAAAACAATAGAACATATAGTGCACAGGCTTTGAAAATACAGTCTACAGGAATTTTCCGCTTTCTTTTTTATGTCCTATGGATCTCGAGCGCCGAGGTAAATGTAGAATGGTCGGATCCTTTGCGCTAACTCACTCGAAATTCCACTTTTTATTGAACAATTGCTGGTATTCTTGTTGTTCAACTTAGCTTGCGAATTATTTACAAGAAGGAAGATAAGTCAACGTTGTGATATGATGTTTTGAAAGGTAGGAAGACGCAGAGGCTTTCTCTCCTCTAGATTCCGAAGGAATAAGTTTAACATCGATTGTTTCCGAATCGTCCTTAAATATTTTATAACTTAGTCTACGAAAGTCAAATTAGTCTGATTATGCTTAACGTCACATTTTTCATTTGAATCTCTATTCCATATGCAAAACTTGTACATAATATAATACGTTGCGTAAATTGTATTCATGAGGTTCGCGAATATGATTTGTTTACCTTAAAGGGATGACTGTGGCTTACGCCAAACTCGAATAAATATCCACTTACTTTAAACAAAAATTATTACGTTGATTATCCCTGTACACATTAAATTAACAAACAAGTTTTAATTAGCGGCTCGCACGTATTAAATTTATTTTATCATATTGTTTTAACATTAATTACCAGTTGATAATCAGCATAATAAAGAAATATAATTGCAGTACGAATTACGAAACTTTAAGTTATGAAGTGCTGTTATTTGTAAAAACAGATTATGCGAATGCATTGCGAAACTCGTGAGAAATAATTAATTAACTTACATACTTTTGAAGTCGAACATTCCTTGAATGAAATTTGTAAACGTTACAAGTTGAGATTAATTTGAAAATAAAAATGAAGCAATGCGAATCGAGTTAAGCTGCTCTATTAATATACGTTTACAGCTCTATGACATTTAAAATAAAAATTTGTATGTCCAAGGATAGTCACGCCGGACAATAATGGTTAAAGGCAGCGATACCCACATATACATAGATATCAAAAGAAAAACTATAATACGTAAAAATTCTAATTAAATAGACGCGGTAATGATAAGACACGCTCTCTCAAATACAAGCAATAATTAAAAGAAAAATACTATCGTGTTGTTGGTTGGTAGTTTCTGTACAAATAATACGTCGTCGCGATTACGGTGATAAAGATTCAAGGCAACTCCATGCTAAGTCATAATGTTTAATTACGTCGATCAATAACGTAAAATTGTATAAGATGCCTTGGATAGCCTTTCTTACGCTATACTCGTGGAAACAAGGAGGGAACAAGGGAAAAATGGGAAACGCGAGTGCTTGACATTGGGAGAAACATAGACAGTGATAAACGGAGAGCGCGAAACGCATCGGCGCGCAATTCTTACGCAAAGTGCGAGGGTTGCGTAAGCGGTTGGTAAAGTC